ACCAAGTCTATTGGTAGTTCTCTGTCCTGGTGAGACATGAGATCCTATACAACCAAGTCTATTGGTAGTTCTCTGTCCTGGTGAGACATGAGATCCTGTACAACCAAGTCTATTGGTAGTCCTCTGTCCTGGTGAGACTTTAGATCCTGTACAACCAAGTCTATTGGTAGTTCTCTGTCCTGGTGAGACATGAGATCCTATACAACCAAGTCTATTGGTAGTCCTCTGTCCTGGTGAGACTTTAGATCCTGTACAACCAAGTCTATTGGTAGTTCTCTGTCCTGGTGAGACATGAGATCCTGTACAACCAAGTCTATTGGTAGTTCTCTGTCCTGGTGAGACATGAGATCCTATACAACCAAGTCTATTGGTAGTTCTCTGTCCTGGTGGGATTTGAGATCTTTTATGACCTCACTTGCCCAACATCATTATTCTGCATGTCTCCTGGTAGGTCTGTCCTGGTCATACACGACATACTACTTAACCTCACTATCCTAACACATAACTATGCAAGTCTCCTGCAGTCCTCTGTCCTGGGGAGACATGAGATCCTACAACACTGTGCTATTCCATCCCTAATATTATTCAGGTATCCTTGCAGTTCTTTGTCCTGGTGAGATATCTCACCCAACCTCACTATCCCAGCTCTATTACTTTGTAAGTCTCCTGGTAGATCTCTTTCCCGGTGAGACATGAGATCCTTCACAACCTCACAATCCTACCACGTTGTTCTGAAAGTCTATTGGTAGCTCTCTGTCCTGGTAGGATGTGAGATCTTCTATGACCTCACTACCCCAACCTCTATACTCTTCAAGGCTACTAGTAGTTCTCTGTGTTGCTGAGACATGATATCCTATATAACTTCACTATCCCGGTGTCATAAATATGAAAGTCTCCTAGTAGTTCTCTGTCCTAGTGAGACATGGGATGCTATACAACTTCACCATCCCAATGTCATTACTATGCAGGTCTGCTGGTAGTTTTACATCTTGGTGTGAGACATGAGATCCTACACAACCTCACTATGCCAACCCAGTTATTATGCAAGTCTCCTGGTAGTCCTCTGTCCTGGTGAGACTTGAGATCCTATACAACCAAGTCTATTGGTAGTTCTCTGTCCTGGTGAGACATGAGATCCTATACAACCAAGTCTATTGGTAGTCCTCTGTCCTGGTGAGACATGAGATCCTATACAACCAAGTCTATTGGTAGTTCTCTGTCCTGGTGGGATTTGAGATCTTTTATGACCTCACTTGCCCAACATCATTATTCTGCATGTCTCCTGGTAGGTCTGTCCTGGTCATACACGACATACTACACAACCTCACTATCCTAACCCATAACTATGCAAGTCTCCTGTAGTCCTCTGTCCTGGGGAGACATGAGATCCTACAACACTGTGCTATTCCATCCCTAATATTATTCAGGTATCCTTGCAGTTCTTTGTCCTGGTGAGATATCTCACCCAACCTCACTATCCCAGCTCTATTACTTTGTAAGTCTCCTGGTAGATCTCTTTCCCGGTGAGACATGAGATCCTTCACAACCTCACAATCCTACCACGTTGTTCTGAAAGTCTATTGGTAGCTCTCTGTCCTGGTAGGATGTGAGATCTTCTATGACCTCACTACCCCAACCTCTATACTCTTCAAGGCTCCTGGTAGTTCTCTGTGTTGGTGAGACATGACATCCTCTATAACTTCACTATCCCGGTGTCATAAATATGAAAGTCTCCTAGTAGTTCTCTGTCCTAGTGAGACATGGGATGCTATACAACTTCACCATCCCAATGTCATTACTATGCAGGTCTGCTGGTAGTTTTACATCTTGGTGAGACATGAGATCCTACACAACCTCACTATGCCAACCCAGTTATTATGCAAGTCTCCTGGTAGTCCTCTGTCCTGGTGAGACTTGAGATCCTATACAACCAAGTCTATTGGTAATTCTCTGTCCTGGTGGGATATGAGATGTTATATGACCTCACTATCCCAGCATAATTACTCCTTATGTCTCCTGGGTGTCTTCTGTCCTGGTGAAATATATTTCCTATAAAACTTCACTATCCAAACCATCTTACTCTGCAAGTCTCCTAGTAGATCTCTGTGTTCTGCAGGGTTATGTAATCCTTTAAAACCTCACTATCCCAGTCCCCTACCTCTGCAACTCTCCTTGTAGTTATCTGTCCTAGTGAGACATGAGATCCTACACAACCTTGCTATCCCAATCCCATTACTATGCAGGTCTCCTGGTAGTTCATTGTCCTGGTGAGGCATGAGATATTATTTAAAGTCACTCTCCCAACATCACTATTCTCACGTTTCTTGGCAGTTATCTGTCCTGGTGAGATATTCTACACAACCTCACCATCCCATCCCAATTACTCTGAAAGTCAGTTGGTAGTTCTTTATACACACTTATGAAATGTGAGACCTTCTATGACCTCACTATCCTAACTTAATTACTCCTCAAGTCTCCTAGTAACCTTATATCCTGGTAAGATATATTTCTTATACAACCTCAGTATCCAAACCTCATTACTCTGCAGTTTTCCTGTTAGGTCTCTGCACTGATCAGATATGAGCTCTCATACAATATCTTGGTGCCAACTGCATTACTTTTCAAATCTTCTGGTAGGTCTCAGTACTGATGGGATATATCTCATACAGCCTCACTATCCCAACCCCATTGCACTGCAAGTGTCCTGGTAGGTCTCTGTCCTGGTGAGATGTGAGATCCTATACAAAATCACCATACTAACCCCAATACTATGCAAGTTTCCTGGTAGGTCTCTGTCCAGGTGAGATGTAAGATCCTATACAAAATCACCATCTTAACTCCAATACTATGTAAGTCTCCTGGTAGGTCTCTGTCCTGGCGGGATGTACCTCATACAACCTCACTAACCCAACCCTATTACTATGCAAGTTTCCTGGTAGGTCTCTGTCCAGGTGAGATGTGAGATCCTATACAAAATCACCATCTTAACTCCAATACTATGTAAGTCTCCTGGTAGGTCTCTGTCCTGGCGGGATGTACCTCATACAACCTCACTAACCCAACCCTATTACTATGCAAGTTTCCTGGTAGGCCTCTGTCCTGGTGAGATGTGAGATCCTATACAAAATCACCATCTTAACTCCAATACTATGTAAGTCTCCTGGTAGGTCTCTGTCCTGGCGGGATGTACCTCATACAACCTCACTAACCCAACCCTATTTCTATGCAAGTTTCCTGGTAGGTCTCTGTCCAGGTGAGATGTAAGATCCTATACAAAATCACCATACTAACCCCAATACTATGTAAGTCTCCTGGTAGGTTTCTGTCCTGGTGGGATATACCTCATACAACCTCACTATCCAAACTCCATTACTATGCAAGTTTTCGGGTAGGTCTCTGTCTTGGTGAGACAAGAGATCCTATACAACCTCACTATCCCAACCACATTATTACTGTATGCAAGTCTCCAAGTAGTTCTACATCCTGGTGAGATATAGCATTGTGTGGCATCAACCCCCTGCCCATAGTACCCCCGTGAGGCAGTACATTGGGTTACATGGTGTTTAGAGAGGGCATCTTGCCCCTGTGCAAGAGAGGTTACGTCCTGCCCATGGGATTTAGTGTTGCATGGAAACACTGCTGTGAAGTCCTGGCATCTTCAAAGGATTCTGGGAGTTCATGCCCATCCCTGGCATGGTATTTATAGACAAAATGTTGTGTGAGTGGGCAGGAGGGGAATCGTTGTGCAAACCTGGGCACAGCAAACTTTGACATCTTAGACATCATAATGAAGAAAGAATTCTGGGAGAGGGTGGGCTCAGATTCCATTGTAAAGTTAGTGTTGGAGGGAAGACTTCCAGGGTGTTTTATTGGTACTGATTGGCTGACTGGTGGAGGGGAACCTCCAGTTTCCATATTCCCCATCATCGCTGGTGATGTGATGCCAAGTGGAGGTTTGTGCTGGTTTGTTTGGATTTATTCCTAGACTTTGCATTGGAGGCTTAATAGAAGATGTCCAACCTGGGGAAGGTACAGGTAAGGACAGAGATTGGACCTGGTGCATGGTTGGGGATTTTAAAGGATTCACACCAGGAGAGTTCACTTGACTAGAGACAGAAACATTATCCAAAGGCCAAAGATATGATATCATACACAACCTCATTATCCCAGCCCCATTACTGGGCAATTCTCCTTGTCTTGGTGAGACTTGAGATTCCATTACTCTGTAAGTCTCCTTGTAGTCCTTAGTCCTGGTCAGATGTGAGCTGCTATACAATCTCACTATCCCATTCCCATTACCCTGCAGGTCTCCTCACAGTTTTCTGGCTTGGTAGGCATGGGGAAGTGTCTTGTTTCTCCATAATAAAGGTCATCTCCAGACTCTCCATGTCTTCTAGCTCCTCACCCTTTTCCCCATCCTTGTTTTTTCTATTTATGGACAATGACATCACTAGTCACATGCCAAGAACTCAGGCAACCTGGAGGAAGGGTCTGCGGTGCTCCCCACATTAACTCCTTGTGAAATTAGGGTGTGCTGCAGAACTTCATGTTCCATGACCCTTCAGACCATACATGGCATGTGCAGATGGGCTATGGGCAGACTTGTTGCCGGGTAGTAACCTGGACAGTGACGTCCAAGCTTTGTACTCATCCACTGAGACTAGATGCTGAGCTTAAAACAAAGACATAGGAGGTATTCGGTGGGTGGAGCTGGTACCAGTGGGCAAAAGATCACTTAATGCTAATAACGGAGAAAGCTCTGAAATGACTACAACACTGCTAATCGGGCTAAAACTACAGGGTGGTATTTAGGGATGCAGTTACCCTGCTGCACAAAGGGCCGGTGGAGGTCTCCGGTCCCCTGGGCAGGAAATGTGGGGATGAGAGTCTCTAATTTTATTACACATACTCTCCTAATATGAAAAACAATATTTGCCTGGGGATGAGCGCTACAATGGCCCTCATCTTTATTGGAAAAGAGAAATTGGTGGGATTCTTACATTTCTCTTGCATGGAGATCTGGTTCATCTGAAAAGAAAACAGAAGAGTTAATGCTCTATTCTTCTAGAGGGCGACCAATGAGAGAACACAGAGACGGAGGGTGAAGAAAGGAGCAAAGAACTAAGAGAACAAAGAGATAACATTGGATGGAAAGATGATAACTGGGGAATGATAAATAAGAGATGCAGAATGAGAAGGTGAGTAGGACATACTGGAGAAAACAGATCAAGCCATGGATGACGTGGAGGCAGGGCCGGGACAAGGGATGGGCAGGAGAGATGGCTGCCCTGGGCACAATGGTATACTGTAGGGATGGGGGCCCTTTCTGTTGTTGCAAGGCTGATAGGAGTAGTAATTTTGAAAAACGAGTGACTGCTGGGCATAGGATCCCCTAATGTTCGACATTGTGAATGGGGGGCGCAGTTTGGCATCTTTACCCTGGGCTCTGGATGACCTTGTCCCAGCACTGCGTAGAGGTGTCCACTAGAAAATGGTTAGGGAGAATGTCACCAGCACACCGAGGATCACCAGTATAGGTCCAAAAGTTTTACTGAACAATCACATAGTTGCAGCAAGGCAACGTTTTGGAGTCTCGCAGGACCCCTTCATCAGGCTTGTGACCATGCACCAGGCTTAGAATGTTCCTTTGCACAGTACAGAAGATCATGCGGTTACATACATTAGACCAGTGTTTCTCAACTCCAGTCCTCATGGACCCCCAACAGGTCATGTTTTCAGGATTTCCATTATTTTGAACAGGTGATTTGATCAGTTTCACTGCCTTAGTAATTACCACAGCTGTTTCATCTGAGGGAAATCCTGAAAACATGACTTGTTGGGGGTCCATGAGGACTGGAGTTGAGAAACACTGCATTAGACCAAGGCAGCACAGTTGTGCATTCCTTTTTGGTGGCTGGACACTTCACCTTCTAGTATAAAATAATGGTTCATCTGTTTACACAGATTGAAGGAGCTGATACTGACAGCCCAGGACAGAATGTCATCCTTCACCAAGACCTGGGAAATCTGGATACACTATGAAACTATGGATGAGCATAAATTAGTTATGTCCAGGGGTGGACTGACCATTTGGAAACTCAGGCACTGCCCGAGGGCCCGGGGTTAGTAGGGGGCCCCATGAGATGCCCCTGGTACCTTTTTCATAGGCTTTTTTGAGTTTGGGCAAGGACACAGGGGCCCCATGATCCCCTATTGCCCGGGGGGCCCCATGAGTTGTCAGTCCACCCCTGGTTATGTCTACGGTTTAAGCTGCCTCAGGAGATGTGGCTTGAGTAGACCCATGACCCTGGCCTCACATGCCTTACTTATTACCCATCATTACTGCCTGCCTACATATCCCTTTGATGGATTGTTTGGATTGCTATTGGTGGTTGGGAGTAGGGGAAGGGGTGGTTTAGTTGGTGACATGACACTTCCCTGCCTGGAGCAGTACTCACTTTCATTACCAGAACCCCTTCTCCTTGGGCAAGCATAAGGATTTGAGGGACCTTGACAAGGGACAAATTGTAATCTCTAGACGACTGGGCCAGAGCAACTCCAAAATTGCAGGTCTTGTGGGATGTTCACGGTCTGTATTTGTTAGAACCAACCAAACATGGTCCTAGAAAGCAAAATTTGTGAGTGGGTCATGGGTGGCCAAGACTCATTGATGGAGGAAAAGGAGGGTGGAGGCTGGCCTGTGTAGTCCAATCCAATAGATGAAAAAGATCATGCTGATTCTAATAGAATCTGCAAGAACACACAGAGCATTGTAGTTGTTGTGTCGTCTGAGGCTCCCCATGCTGACCCGTGTCCACAGCCCAAAGTCCCTACACTGTCTTTTACATCATGTGGATGGCCGGGTGTGTGTGCGTCACTTACCAGGGGAGGAGATAGCACCAGGATGCACTATGGGAAGAAGACAAGTCGGGGAGGCAGTGAGATCCTTTATCTAGACAATGCCTTGATGGGTTGGGACTGTTTTAGTGGCAAAAGTCGGACCGACTCAATATTTGGTGGGTGGTCATAATGTTATGGTAGAACAATGTATACTCTAGAAATATTGTGTTTTTATTTGTTGCTTATATGTTCTGCTTACACAGAAAGAACATGCAGCATGGAAGGAGCAGGCACCTAATAATGGATGAATATACACGGAATGAGGAATGGTCTCACCTGCAGTAGACTTTGGAGTTCTGAAGGGACACCTTTAACCAGTGCACTTTCTGGAGTGTATGAGGAGATTGGGTAGGTCACAGGAGGGGCGGTGGCTGTGATGGCATTGTAATCAGGGGGAGGATCCTGGCAGGATTTATTCTGCATTGTAGCTGTTTCTGAAAAAAAAAAAATCATATTGCCATTGAAATCTTAAAAGATGAAAAACAAGTAGACTATCTTCTTCACAAAACATGGGACTGAAGAAAAGAGGGAACTGACCAATACACGTCTGTAGACACCAATGACTGGGCAAAGTCTATGACCCTGGACAGCTATAAGATTGGAAATACACATATGTGAAGGCACCAAGGACTGGCCAAGGTCTATGACAACAGAGGACCAAAGGCTGGACAATACAAACATCTGTGGACACCAAAGACTGGGCAAAGTCTATGACCCTGGACAGTTATAAAATGGGAAATACACATATGTGAAGGCACCAAGGACTGGCCAAGGTCTATGACAATTGAGGGCCAAAGGTTGGGCAATACACATGTATGTGGAAACAAATAAATGTTCAATGTCTATGACCCTGGACAGCTATAAAATTGGAAATACACATATGTGAAGGCACCAAGGACTGGCCAAGGTCTATGACAACAGAGGACCAAAGGCTGGATATTACACCAAAGACTGGGAAAAGTCTATGACCCTGGACAGTTATAAAATGGGAAATACACATATATGAAGGCACCAAGGACTGGCCAAGGTCTAAGACAATTGAGGGCCGAAGGTTGGGCAATACACATGTCAATGGGCACCAATGACTGGGCAATGTCTATGGCAACAGAGGACCAAAGGCTGGACAATACACCAAAGACTGGGCAATGTCTATGACCCTGGACAGTTATAAAATGGGAAATACACATATGTGAAGGCACCAAGGACTGGCCAAGGTCTATGACAATTGAGAGCTGAAGGTTGGGCAATACTCATGTCAATGGGCACCAATGACTGGGCAATGTCTATGACCCTGGACAGTTATAAAATGGGAGATACACATATGTGAAGGCACCAAGGACTGGCCAAGGTCTATGACAACAGAGGACCAAAGGTTGGGCAACACACACGTCTGTGGACACTATGGGCTTGGCATTGTCTATGAACTTGGACAATCATTGACTGGGCATTACACAAATGTGAAGGCACTAAGGACTGGACAACATCTTTGTAAATGGAGGACCATGGACTGGGCAATACCCATATCTTTATATATTAACGACTGGGTAACATCTGTTAACCACAATCCCCATGGATGGGTAATATCTGTATCTGAGAGCCCCAAGAACTGGACTATACATAGTTCCATGTCTACCAGGGACCTGGTAATGTATAGTCCTGGAAAATATATCTCTACTATAAAGGCTGGACTATCAGAGATGGGTGAGTAGTATCTCCCTTAGGCACCAAATACTGCACGTCAGTGGACTATATCATGATTCAACCAGTTATGGACATGGGACATGCTACCTACACCCCAAAAAATGAATGGATCTAATGGACGTGTGTTGTATGCCCCGCCCTTATGAAACTCTGACCCCTCCCCCAATACACACACAGCTAGAAGGTGCTATGTATATAGAGAAGCTGTAGAAGACAGTGCTTTCAAAACATAATGTCTGACAGTGTTTATAAACATTGATCAGATGGGAGATAGAGAGATACAAAGCAACATTGTTTATAAACATCGATCAGATGGGAGATGGAGAGATACAAAGGAACATTGTTTATAAACATCGATCAGATGGGAGATAGAGAGATACAAAGGAACATTGTTTATAAACATCGATCAGACGGGAGATAGAGAGATACAAAGGAACATTGTTTATAAACATCGATCAGACGGGAGATAGAGAGATACAAAGGAACATTGTTTATAAACATCGATCAGACGGGAGATGGAGAGATACAAAGTAACATTGTTTATAAACATCGATCAGATGGGAGATAGAGAGATACAAAGTAACATTGTTTATAAACATCGATCAGATGGGAGATAGAGAGTTACAAAATAACATTGTTTATAAACATCGATCAGACGGGAGATAGAGAGATACAAAGTAACATTGTTTATAAACATCGATCAGACGGGAGATGGAGAGATACAAAGTAACATTGTTTATAAACATCGATCAGACGGGAGATGGAGAGATACAAAGTAACATTGTTTATAAACATCGATCAGACGAGAGATGGAGAGATACAAAGTAACATTGTTTATAAACATCGATCAGACGAGAGATGGAGAGATACAAAGTAACATTGTTTATAAACATCGATCAGACGGGAGATGGAGAGATACAAAGCAACATTGTTTATAAACATCGATCAGACGGGAGATGGAGAGATACAAAGTAACATTGTTTATAAACATCGATCAGACGGGGGATGGAGAGATACAAAGTAACATTGTTTATAAACATCGATCAGACGGGAGATGGAGAGATACAAAGTAACATTGTTTATAAACATCGATCAGACGGGAGATAGAGAGATACAAAGTAACATTGTTTATAAACATCGATCAGACGGGAGATAGAGAGATACAAAATAACATTGTTTATAAACATCGATCAGACGGGAGATAGAGATACAAAGTAACATTGTTTATAAACATCGATCAGACGGGAGATAGAGAGATACAAAGTAACATTGTTTATAAACATCGATCAGACGGGAGATAGAGAGATACAAAGTAACATTGTTTATAAACATCGATCAGACGGGAGATGGAGAGATACAAAGTAACATTTGTTTATAAACATCAGACGGGAGATAGAGAGATACAAAGTAACATTGTTTATAAACATCGATCAGACGGGAGATAGAGAAATACAAAGTAACATTGTTTATAAACATCGATCAGACGGGAGATAGAGAGATACAAAATAACATTGTTTATAAACATCGATCAGACGGGAGATAGAGAGATACAAAGTAACATTGTTTATAAACATCGATCAGACGGGAGATAGAGAGATACAAAGTAACATTGTTTATAGACATCGATCAGATGGGAGATGGAGAGATACAAAGGAACATTGTTTATAAACATCAGACGGGAGATAGAGAGATACAAAGTAACATTGTTTATAAACATCGATCAGATGGGAGATAGAGAGACACAAAGTAACATTGTTTATAAACATCGATCAGACGGGAGATAGAGATACAAAGTAGCATTGTTTATAAACATCGATCAGACGGGAGATAGAGGGATACAAAGTAACATTGTTTATAAACATTGATCAGAGGGGAGATGGAGAGATACAAAGTAACATTGTTTATAAACATCGATCAGACTCGAGATGGAGAGATACAAAGTAACATTGTTTATAAACATCGATCAGACTGGAGATGGAGATACAAAGTAACATTGTTTATAAACATCGATCAGACGGGAGATGGAGAGATACAAAGTAACATTGTTTTATAAACATCGATCAGACGGGAGATAGAGAGATACAAAGTAACATTGTTTATAAACATCGATCAGACGGGAGATGGAGAGATACAAAGTAACATTGTTTATAAACATCGATCAGACGGGAGATAGAGAGATACAAAGTGACATTGTTTATAAACATCGATCAGACGGGAGATAGAGAGATACAAAGTGACATTGTTTATAAACATCGATCAGACGGGAGATAGAGAGATACAAAGTAACATTGTTTATAAACATCGATCAGACGGGAGATGGAGAGATACAAAGTAACATTGTTTATAAACATCGATCAGACGGGAGATGGAGAGATACAAAGTAACATTGTTTATAAACATCGATCAGACGGGAGATGGAGAGATACAAAGTAACATTGTTTATAAACATCGATCAGACGGGAGATAGAGAGATACAAAGTAACATTGTTTATAAACATCGATCAGAGGGGAGATAGAGAGATACAAAGTAACATTGTAGGCACATGCATGGAACATACTCTCAGCACACAAACATTGACCGCCCAGTGACATGACAACACATACAGTCTGCACGGCATGCAGGCATGTAAGCCCCACCCTTTTTCCGCCATACATAAAGGGGTTAAGGCGGAGCTCCATCTGAGAGTAGAAGGAAGCCCCCCTGTAGCATCTTTTACCTCCAGGCAGGCCTATCAGAAATCTTCCCTGTAGGTAAATCCAATATCTCCTAATCATGGGACGGTTAGGAGATATTCCTTCTTTATGACAGCCAACGCATGCGCTCTGAAGGCACGGCATACCCTTACCATCTCTTCACAGCACTGTGCCATGGCATGAGACTCCCACGCATGCACGGCAGTGATGTCATCACGGCTTGGCCAGTCAAATGGCTGGAGCTTGCCATGGAAGGAAGACCGGGTGAAGATGGAAGCCCTGGCAGCGGTGACAGCTGGAGGCTTCGTCTTCGGGACGCAGACTAACACATTATCATGCAGGGGATTTTTTACTTTTCGAGTTGGGGCTTACTGCCACTTTCATACCAATTATACTGAGAAATGTCCCCTCCCCCTCCTATCCTCTGTATACATGATTGTAGTGTGTTCCGCTCCACGTATGTAGAAAAGATAATAGAGCGAGCGCTAAATGCAGGATATATTAAAATGATATATATCCAAATGAATTAAAAGCAGCTGGCACTCGGGGTATAGGTCACAGTCCCAGAATCACAATTTCTACAATATCAGTGCAGAGCTAATAAATGCCAAATCCCATAAACGCATGTGACTTAAACGCATCTGTGAGTAAAGTGCTGAAAGTGCAATATTACTAGAACTGGTTCAAGATGGCATAAAATGCAATACAAGAAGCTCATCAGAGCATTCGTGAATTTAATATGTCTCTTGTGCAAAGATATCAGCTGAAGAAATGCCTGTGATTGGCAAGTGAAGTTATCTGTGAAGAGTAATGCAGGCCATAGACAGGTCGAAAATCAGCCGATTTTTCGGCCGAAAAAAAAATCAGCTGTTTTTTGCACCCTTAGTGGGTTAATTGGTCAGCCATTTTCGGGGTTTTGGCACATTTTGTTTATCAGTAAAGTTGGAAAAAAAGCGGCCGATTTTGCAGGTCGGATGATTTTCCCGGCAACGATGGGCAAATAGGCCGATCGTTTTACCGAAGAAAAA